GATTCCATGGCCTCAGATTCCAGGTCTTGACCCTCTCGCTGGTATCTTTGTTTGCCTGTGCCGGTAGATTAAAGTTTAGGAGCTAGCAGATTTGGTTTGTCTTTTGTTGAGGAAATTTTGATTTTGTTCCGGATGTGCAGATTTCGCTCATTTCGGAAAATGTTTTATTTCTTTCACCAAAGGCGTATTTTTTTTCGTGAGTAGCTGGGATGGAGGTTTGACTTTTGAGCTAGAAAGTGATTGATGGATGGATATACGCTAGATGAATTTGGAGCCCTTGATTTCATGGGGTGGCGGCGAGGGCTATTTCTGGGGTTGTTCTTGTTCTACTACTGCTCTGGTGGGACAGAGAGTAAAATTGTGGGAACTGCAATTAAGGCTTTCCAGGGTTTGCTGGAAGAAGACATGTCTTGATGTGCAATGAAATTGGAGAAGAAAAAATTGTTGGTTGAAAAAACTGAATTTGTAGTAAATTAAAATTAAAGAAAAACGAAAAGAGAGAGGACAAAGACTTTTGTATCACTATCACTGTCATGTCACTGTTCATTCACCAAATCAATTATTATTATTAGAGAGAAAGAGTAGTAAGTATGCAAATTGACAGACACATAAACCCTACCCTTGACACTTGCACACCACACCTAAGACTTGTGTTGGTATACATGGCGACTGCATATTAAAATGCATTGCTACAATTTGTCACACATACATACCTTTGAGTGATATAAAATTATTTATTATAATATTTATTTTTAGTTTAGTTTAACTTTCATTAAAAAACTCACAAATGAGATAGAATTGATAAATTATGTTGTGCAGCTAATCTAAGTCATCTTATAATAATATGCATTATATATATACATAAGTAAGTTCAATAAATTTTGTTTTTTTTATTTTTTAGTTTTTATTTTGTTTAAATTATTTGCAATTTGTATATTTTGTGTGCACACTAGAAGTTACGACCCTAAATATATGTATTTTTAGTACGAAATAATTAAATTATGTATTTTTTATTAATTTGAAAAAAAAAATCTATATTTTGCCCCCTCGGAGTTTTATGGCTAGTTCTGTCACTGGTTAGGACATGTGTAATTTTAGTTATATATATAGTTATTTGCAAGTTTTCAATTATATATATATATACATGTGCATATTATAAAAAATAATTTATTTCTTTTTTGTTTGACAACAAGTACAAGAAAGTTGATATTTAGCTACCAAAAGTTTTGTTGCAAAATAAAATGATTTTGTAAGGAAAAGCCATTTGTGATTGCATGTTTCGTCGCCTATGTTGTGTCGTAAAAGGTTTTTGGCAATAAATTTGACATCCATAGTGAAAGTAAGTTTTTCGTAATGAAAGTATGCAAATGAGATTTAGCTACAAAAATATAATTCCGTAGCTAAAGGTTTTTTTACTATAAAAATAGATTTTTATCGCAAAAGACTCTTAGCAATGAAATATGATTTTCGTTAGTAAATAAATTTTAGTTTGAAGACACATTCACCATGAAAAGTAATCTTATCCGGAAGCTGAAATATATATTTATAAACTAATTTATGCAAAAATAACTAGACTGTGCTATAATGTCTTTCTAAGCAATAATTGATACATTCAATTCAAGCATGCAGCTTTGTATCTTTAAGTCTAGATTGAATTTGTAGATTTTAGTTTTCTATTAAAATAATATTTGATGTAATATTTTGTAAGAGAAAAAAAAATACTCCCTCCGTCCCATAACAAAGTATCCATTTTTCCATTTTAGTCCGTCCCATAACAAAGTATCCATTTTTCCATTTTAGTCCGTCCCGTCACAAAGTATCCATTTCATTTTTTAGTAACTATACCTAACATTACAAATACCCTTACAACTTACAATATATTACACAAATATCATTACCTTTATATCACACGTACTAATCAGGTTATTTTAGTCATTTCTACTTTATTTCTACTATATCCCAATATAATACTAATATTTCTAAAACTACGTGCAAAAAGCAAATGGATACTTAGTTTCGGGACGGATGGAGTATATTTTTCGAGACAATTATGATGTCTAAAAAATAGTCTGGAAACTGAAACAGAGATAATTCAGGTTTGTGTTTAGTTTTTTAAGAGTTTTGTTGGTTATTGTACTTAATAATAATACACATCGGATGATTAGTTACTTAGTTGAAAATGATTGTAAGTTATGCAAAACTTAGCAACTACCTTGTGTGGATCATGAATGTAATTTGTGTATGGTTATAGCAGGCTAACGATACACATATTTTATCATTGAAAAGATCTATAAAATTAATTTTTTACGTAAATATGGATCCACAATAATATCCTTTAATTGGAAGATATGTATTGGCTTCTCTTTAAATTCGTCCTTTCGCTGCTCATAAATGGGAATATGTTGTTATTGTTTGCTAATTGACAAGGTACTTTTGGTTAGTATTAAGTTTTACTTGGATATAATTGCATATTCTTTTAGTTTGATATTCTATATGCAATGCAAAATTTTGAGAAATGTGCATGTATGACTGGGCCCACATGAGAAAGAATGATAAAAGATAATTTTGACTTAACTCGTTTGATTAGCTTATTTGATTAGCGGTTTGTACTAAAGTGTTTGGTAAAACGACGGTTTAATATTAGCTGTTTATAAATAAAATGACAATTAACGACATTTTGTATTTTATTTTTAAAATATTTAATTGTGTTCTTCGTTTTAAAGAATTTTTAGAATTTTTATTATTACTTATTGAAAATTATAAAAAATTTTATTACAATATTTTTTTTTGTTATTTTTTAAATATTGTAGAAGATTTGTATATATATTTTTTATTAAGTTACTTTTTATATTTATAATTTTAAATAAATTTATTCTAATATATTTATTAATAATAAAAACAATTATGTGACAAACAATATATAGTATATATAAATAAATTAATAATAATTTGAGTTATATCATATTTTAAAAAACTAATTTACCAAACACTGAAATTAGCTTTTCGATTGGTGAAACATAAATCATTTCCCAACCACCACTTAAATCTTTTGCCATTTGGATAAATATTAGATATTATTTTATTATATATTCATTTCCTTGTACCTATTTTTCTAATATAAAACAAACATTTAGATTATACTGCCTATGTCATCCGATTGTGTACTCAAACTGCTCAAATAATTAAGCACGAATTTTAATAAAAATAGATAATAATTATTACTATAATTTTTTGTCTACAGTAAAAAGGTAAAAGAAAAAAAAAACTTATGTATTTTGTGTTCAAAAATATATATAGACCTTTTTATGACAATACAAAAGAAAAAATGGATATAAACGGATGAAATATATATCTAAAAAACCGAGGGCAAGTCAGTTCTCCTCTTTGTTCACCCCTCTGTTAGGAAAATGTGAACCAGACGAGATCTACTCGTCATTGAGACCTGCGCTGCACAAGGACCCAAAACTGGCAGATGACACCGATGAAGAAGTGAAGACTTGGAACCTAATGCCACGTAAGCTGATCGCAAAGAAGAGAGTGCTGAGCATAACGGTCCCTCTGACTCAGCAGCAGATCAAAGAGGATACAATATCTATGACGGGAGGGATGACGCCAGTCGGGCGCCCCAAGAAGAGGCCGAAGCACCTTCAGAATCACAATGAGGTATGCATAGATACAGATTCTTATTTGTAGATTTCATAACATATCATCCATTGCCTTCTTAGGATCTGAAGAGATCAGTTTACTTACCAAATTAATATGTGTTCTGATTTATTATTGTGCTATTTCTGCACTGCAGATTATGTCGCCCGGAGGATGTCTTGACGTCATATCTGAGGATACATAGAAGGTAAATTTTTAAACCAAAAATTATCCCTATGTAATCTATATACATATATATATATATATACTAATGTATCAGTCAACTTAAACAAATTTTTGTAATTACTTCATTTGATATGATTATATGATGAAGATTATACTAGCAAAGTTAGATGAAGTAAGTAAGGTGTAAGCTTATGATTTTGGGGATGGAAAAGGGTTACAGCACTTTTGTTTTGGGTTTGCAAATTGTTGTTGTTATTTTATTTATTTATTTAGGGCTTTAAAGATCTCATGTTGTACAATGGAGGAATTTTGTGCATTTTTTATACTAAACAATTGATATCAAATTGTATAGATTTCAATTGTCATATAAATATCAAATTTAAAATTTCAGCAAGCAAAAATAATAAAATATATACCTTAAGAACACAAACAAGAGAGTATAATATAAAAAAGTTTTAAAAATAGCATGAAATATCAAAAAGCTTTACTTCATGGGAGAAGTCTTTGAATAGAAAATCCACTGCACATGCTCTAACAAAACCCTGATAATTTCACTTTTCAAAATGGCGATGGCTGTTAGAAATTAAATTCACAAAGATCAGGAATATGCAAAAACAAATCTAAATGATTTTTATGATCAAAATAAACAGACTGAAACACTTGTTTTACAATCATACAACCATGTGTATACAATTACATCCTACAAGATCAATGCATACAATCTTATAATTCTAATAGACACGACCTTTCAACACTAACAGATACAATTTTAAATTTGAATTCTAAATAGACATAACTACCTAGGAAATTAATGGAATAAATAATGACAAATTATAATATATAAATAATTATATAATCAACCAAATACAATTACTCCCAACACTCTCCCCCTTTAATTCTGCTTCATGTGTTCTCGATCTTCAATTCCGATTAAATATAATCTCTCATCTCTAAGAACTTTAGTTTGGGTAGTGCCTTGGTCAAGATGTCAGCCTTTTGTTCCTCTCCACTGACATGCTCTACATAGATCGAACCCTCTTCAACACATTCTCAAATAAAATGAAATTTGGTATCAATGTGTTTTCTTCTTCCGTGAAAAACCGGATTTTTCATCAAGGATATGGAAGATTTGTTATCCACGTATAATTTAGCACATTGAGCTTCCCAACTAGTCAAAAGTCTACCAATAAGTTACGTAGCCACAATGCTTGGAATGCCGCTGAAGTTGCAGCCATAAATTCAGCTTCACAAGAGGAGAGAGCGACAGTGCACTGCTTCTGCGAACACCAAGTGATAAGGTTGCCCGAAAAATAAAATGTCATGCCGATTGTACCTTTACGATCATCTAGATCCATACCATGGCTACTATCGCTATATCCATGTAATCTTCCATTGCCTCCCTTATGATAAAACAGTCCATAACTCATCGTTCCCTTGATATACCTCAATATTTGCTTGACTGCTTTATAATGACTTTCTTTCGGTGATGTCATGTACCTGCTTACAACTCCCACCGAATATCCGAGATCCGGTCTACTGTGAGTGATATATCTTAGGCTTCCGATGTGTCTTCGATACTCCATTGCATTTTTTGGTACACCTTTTTCATCTTTAGATAAGTGTAACTTCGGTTCCATGGGATATTTCGACAGATTACAATCTGCCATTCGTGCAGTTTGTAATATTTTCTAGCATACCCACTTTAATCAATTGTATCCCTTTCTCACTTTGGTGAACTTCGATTCCCAAATAGTATGAGATTCTTCCAAGATCACTAGTATCAAACACATTCTGCATATCCCTTTTGAATGTACAAATCAAACTTTCACTTGTTCCGGTCACAATCAAATCGTCTACATACACAACTTGTACACAACTTGCTCTTGTGGGCTTGTCGTAATCCATAAAGAGCCTTGTGTAATTTATACACAAATCTTTCCTTTCCTATGACAACAAAACCATCAGGTTGGGATACATACACTTCTTCTTGTATAATGCCATTAAAAAATGCCGACTTTACATCCAAATGGTGGACACGCCATCCTTGCGAAGCTGCCAACGCCAATAGCAACCGTATAGTTTCAAGTCTAGCCACCGGGGCAAACACTTCCTCAACGTCCACTCCTTGTCTTTGTACATATCCCTTAGCCACTCATTGCCTTTAACATCTTTCTTTAACTTAAAAACCCATTTCAGTCCGATGGGTTTCTTTAGTGGGGAAGTGTTGTCAATTAGCATGTTTGATTTTTGTTTATTGCGTCAGGTTCCTTCTGCATCGCCTCCTTCCAAATTGCATCAGTAAACGCCTCCTGGAATGATGTCAGCTCCTCTCCAGCAAACATAAATTCTTCTCCTTCATCCTCTACAACATCTGATTGTGCATAAACGTCCGACAGAGAGCAAAACCCACGAATGGGTGTGTGATCGAATGCTGTCTGACTCGCTTCTTGACTACAATAAGATGTCTGAATCAATGGACTCTCTCGAGAGGCTGAATTCCTTAAGGAGTCTGCACTTCTTGTCACTGATAACGGCAGAGTCTAGTCATTAGTTGTTTCGAATTGATGTATTGGACTTCCAACTCCATCACCAACTGGATCTCGATTATCACCTTCATCTCCACCAGGAACTTGCTCATTAAACCATCCAAATTTTATGCTTGATTGAGTGCCTTGTTGTTCAGTCCAATTCAATTTGGCCTTTTTCATCAAAAATTACTTCACGTGCAACACATATCTTATTTCAAAGAGGTTTATAGAGGCGATATGCTTTGCTACAAGGTTCGACTCCCAAATAAATCATTTTTTAGCTTACACTTAATTTTGTTAAGTGATTCGCTGATGTCTTCACATGCACAATACAAGCAAAAATCTTGACATGTTCAAGAGATGGTTTCTTTCGCTTCCAGCCCTCATACGGTGTCATGCTCTTCAAACCTTTTGTCGGAATTCTATTTAAAATATACACTGCATGTCGGACTGTTTCACCCCACAAATTTTCTGGTACACTCATCGCCTTTGACATGGATCTCGTTGTTTCAAGAACAGTTTGATTTCGACGCTCCATAACCTCATTTTGTTGTGGGCTCTATGGTGCCGAGAGTTGCCTTTTCACGCCCTCTTTATCACATAATTCGTTGAATTTTTGTGATGTGAATTCACCTCCTCGGTCATTCCTTAGCATTTTTACCTTATATGCGCTTTCACTCTCGACTTGTGCCTTGAATTTCTTGAATGCCGGGAATGCCTAATCTTTTGTTTTGATAATGTAAACCCACATAAACGTGTTATAGTCATCTACAATCAGCATAAAATAATTATTTTCTCACAACGTTTGTGGTGATATCGGTCCACACAAATCTGCATAGACTAGTCCAGTGGGGATGAAGCACGATACTCAGTTTCCTTTGGAAAAGGTTGGCGAGTTTGTTTAGCACCCTTCACAGACTTGTTTCGGGTGCTTCACTCTTGGCACACCACGCACCATATTTTTCTCAACCATCGACTCCAATATCCCGAAGTTTATATGACCGAGCCTCGTATGCCATAACCATGCTTCATCATTAAGACTTATGGCAAGACAAACTGCTTGTATGGTTTGAAGATTAATCTTGTACACACGGTTTTTCGACCGTTGCACCTTCATGATCAATTTCCCATGTTCATCATGAACCTTCAAGTGTTCGTTCAACATTTCTATCTTATATCCTTTCTCTGTTAATTGCCCTAAGCTTAGAATATTACTCCGCAAGGCTGGAATATAGTACACTTCATAAATAACTTTGTGTTCGCCATTTTTGCACTTCAATAAGATGGACCCCTTTCCTTCAATCTGTACTTTGGACCTGTCACCAAAACAAAATTGACCCATTATCTCCTTGTTAAGTTCAGCGAAAAGATTTCATTTCCCCGTCATATGGTTGCTTGCACAATTATCTAAGTATCATGCATCATCACCATCTTTTTCACTCTGATTTGGGAGCACTTTATCTTCATTAAACAATACCTTAGGAACTGTGTTTGCCCCGTAAACATTAAAAGTAGTGCAGGTTCCTCCTCTTGCGCTTGGGCTAGATTTACTTCATTGTTTTTATCCTTCGACGATGACTTGCATTCCGACGCTTAATGCCCAAAATTTTCACAATTAAAACATTTTATGTGGTGCTTGTCTCTGCCCTTGTGTTGATTATACCAGGAATCTCGAGATTGTATAAAATTGCCATGTTCACTTTTTCTTTGTCCGCCTCCTCTACCATGACCACCATATCGGTCGCCTTTCTCGGGATGGTAAGATCCACATCCTCTTCCACCTGATGCCCAACTTCCTCCGTAACTATTCTGATTTTTTTGAAAATTTTTCTTAGTGAGTAATAAACTTCCCTCATTGCTTGTATTTCCACTGCGAAGCTTCAACCGATCTTCATAAGCTTTAAGTCGGCCAATAGCTTCTTCGAATGGCATGGTATCTAAGTCGCAACATTGTTCAATTGAAGCAACCAATTGTAAATACATGTTGAGAACTGAATCAAGAAGTTTCCGAACAAGTGTATTGTCTTCAATTGTTGAACCAAGATTATTAAATTTTGATACCATGGCGCTCAAGTTTCAAGCAAATTCATCTATCATCTCACCATCTTTCATTCGCAGCCTTTCGAAATCACTCTTCAGCTTATGCAATCTTGCCCTTTGCACCCGATCGGCTCCAAGATATCTTGTCTTTAATGCCTCCCAGATTTCTTTCGCGGTCCTCTTCTTTGACACTTGCAGAAGGATGTCTTCTGTAACTGCTTGGAATATGAAAGCCCAGCCATCTTGTTCTTTTTATCGCTCACCGCCTCTCCGGCCGGTGGTTCAGACAATGCATACAATCTTATAATTCTAATAGACACGACCTTTCGACACTAACAGACACAATTTTAAATTTGAATTCTAAATAGACATAACTATCTACGAAATTAATGGAATAAATAATGACAAATTATAATATATAACTAATTATATAATCAACCAAATACATAATTAGAATTACTCCCAACAATGACAAGTCAAACATAAAATACGGAATTGTTTATCTTGTAAAACACGTAATCACTATCAAAATATTAATTATTTATAACATGTGATGACTATCAATTACCGTCAGACCAACAACTGCTTTTAGGGTGCTGATATCCTAAAATTGTCAACACACTACTTATTTTTTCTACGGCCGTAGGATCAGATTTAATGATTCATTCAATGGATATCAATGAAGGAGGATAATATTATAAATGTGACTGGAAAAAATTTTAGTAATAATTTTAATTCAAGTATAAGAAATAAGAAAAAAAAAAGCAACATTTCATTAATTACAAACATTAATTATGTTTCAATCTTTATCCAAATCTTGACTATATAATATTGTGCTATCCATATTTTTTTCATAAGTCCACGATGATATTATATGATTCTAGGTGGTGTATGTCGTACATGTTATCTATAGTATTAAATTTTATATATGTATATATATGTATTATTTATGACAAATTATGATAAAATTGAAATATTTTTGGTACTATTTTTAATATAATTAAACAATCTGAAAAAAATAGATATTATATTAGTTACACACTTATTATAGTTAAGAAAATTGCATTGATTGTAATTCTAAATATTATCAAAATTTTCATCATATTATATTGTGATATCAACAATATATACAAATGTTATTCGTAATTTTCAACCTCCAATTTTGTTCTTCCTTCCCGATGTCTTCCTTGAAGGAACGGGTAAAGAATCGATTACAGCTCCACAATTTACTCTCCCGCCAGACTTGCAGTGGAAGAAAAACAAACAGAAGGCCTCGGTTGAGCAAAAAGGAGGTGGAAAAGGATATCCTTTCGATGACCGGAGGGAGGCCCTCCTCGCAAACCAAGAAGAGGCCAAAGCACCTTATTATTATTATTATTATTATTATTATTATTATTATTATTGATGACCTATATGTTTAATGTCTTTACGTAGTTTTTTAAATAGATGATCCTTTTTTTAAGTTCAATAAATTCTCTTTTTACATTCATTCATTAGCAATTGTGTATTTTGTGTGCACATTGAAGCATCTGAAATGTTAAAATAGTTATGTTATTATATACATAGGCAGTATCATAGTTAATTATATGTATATTGGACGAGGTGCATGTTTACTTCAGCATCTATCATTCAATAAAATTGTTAGCTAGCGTAATTTCCTATTTAATGTATAAAATGTACATTTGTTTGTCGTTTACATTAATATTCACACTCAGGGTTTGGCTTGATTTCGTTGAAAGTCATCACATTGTATATATAATTAATACAAATAATAATGAATGAAAAATAATCTTCATGACAAAATCAAGAATGAAAAGTAAAGAGTTAGGACAATGATCTTACAAATGTTAAAATCAAAATACATTACAATCTGCAATGGAAACCATTACAACTATTTTATTAAGTACAAGATTTATAAAATGGCACCCTAAGGCGATATAACAAATTCCCATAAAGATTGAGTTAGCATGTTTAGGGTATGAAACCATGATAATTCTTTATTGAGTAGAAGATTTATAAGAAGACACCTTAAGGCGATATAAATAAATATAATTTTATTGATATAGACATAGATGTTGGTACAGAGATTACTATCAACAACAAGAATACCATTTCTATGTAAACATAGGGAATTATGATAACAAATTTATTTAACAATATATATATATATATATGTCAGATACACACAAAAAAATATTGAAATGTAATTGTATCAAGAGAAATAAATATGAGTACGTGTATTAGTAGAAACTATAGAAGTAATGTTTATACATAAAAATAGGAAACTATGACAACTGTTTTAATGGATAGAAGAGTTTCGTATGTCACATGCACAACTATACAAATAATATACATTTCTCTGACATAAAGATGAATATATAACAATTCATATAATAACTAAATATTTATGTGTGCAAACGTTAAACATGCACAAGTACTACACACTCTAAGAAACTAGTATAATGGAAATACACAGACAGTATGTAATATGTTCACTACTTCTTTATGTCACTGCAACTTTTATTCTGATTAATGTTCTCATATAATCACATCTCCTTATAGCTTCGGTGGTTCAGAGATGGCACCGTTCAAGGGAGAGAACTTCTGCCGCAAGAGACATCCAGCCGCGTCGCAGCACAATAAAACCGAGGGCAAGTCAGTCCTCCTCTTTGTCCACCCCTCTCTCTCAGGAAAATGTGAACCAGACAAGATCTGCTCGTCATTGACAAGGACCCAAAACTGGCAGATGACACTGATGAAGAAGTGAAGACTTGGAACCTGAGACTGCGTAAGCTGATCGCAAGAAGAGAGTGCTGACCATTACGGTCCCTCTGACTCAGCAGGAGATCAAATTAGACATAATTTCTACGACCGGAGGGATAAGGCGACCCTGGCGCCCCAAGAAGAGGCCAAAGCAGCTTCTGAATCACATTGACGTACACACATATATAGATTCGTATTTGTAGATTTCATAACATACCATCCATTGCCTTATTAGGGTCTGAAAGAGATTAGTTTAAGTACCCATTTAATGTGTTCCGAGTTATTATTGTGTTATTTTTGCACCGCAAATTGTTTCTCCGGGAGGATGTCTTGACCACATTTCTGAGGATACATAACTTAGAAATACACATTGTCGACTTTTATTACCAAAATTATTCTTACTAGGTTTCAACTCTTTAGCATAACAAAGGTATCCAAAATTAGAAATATGACAGGAGGCACACTGAAAAAAATTCATAAGGTGATTGGTTTTGTAAAATTCCTAACGCACCGCATCTTTGATTTCTTTTGGTCACCGCAAAAGACTTTACTAATACGAATTCTGTAACAAAATACTCCCTTTGTCCATTAGTAAACATTCCATTTTACCATTTTAGTAAGTTCAAATCAAAATTTATCATTTTTCTTTTTTTTTAGTAAAAGTAATTTTCAATTAAATATCAATATACCATTATTTTTTACTTTCCATGGTATTTTTACTTTAATATTAACTGATAAAATAGATATTACACAACTTTTTATTCAACTATATATCTATAAAGTATTAATTTATTTTAATTCATGTGCAAAAATTAAATGAAAAATTTACCGGTGAACGGAGAAAGTATTTACTACAGACTTAAAAAAAAAAAGGAAAAAAATTGTAGTGAATTTACGTAACCATAGTATATTTCTTAAATCCAATAACTTATATGCATCTTCAAATTATGAAGTTGTGGCCTTGGAACTCCATTAAAATATTCCATGCTTTACAATATCTTACATATTATATATATATATATATATATTAAATATTACTCCGATTAAACATATTGAATATACATAAAGTACTATTTTAAAAGAATAATGTCCTAGCAATATTTAAATATTTCTATGTAATACATTATATTTTATAAGCCACCAAAATATTACACTATAACATCTTCACGTCAAAATATTTGACATTATTCTAATGAAATGCTAAAATATCATGTCATCCGTTACAGTTTATTTCTTTTGTATGTTTATTTATACTTACTTAATGTTATATAATTAATAATACAAAAACATATGCTGAGATGACAAGTGAAATTAATTATTATTCTCTAATTTATTTATTTTTTTATTTTTTTTTTCTAATTATCAATTGTTATTATTTCATCTGCAATAACTTTTGCCTGAGGAGTAGGATATCGAACATATTTTTTAGAAAAAGCTTAAAACATTACATTAATCAATTATTTAGAATTCTAACAAAATTAGTTCTATAGTATAAATGGATAAACACTAATTTAGCCGACAACAAAAAAAGATGATTAACATAATTTTGGCTAATTAACGAAATAAGTGTATTTTTATTGGAAATTATTCTTATTGTATTTTATGTATGTTAGTGACAGTGAATAAACCCTAAATAATTGGAAAACACAAACATTTGCAGAAATACTAAGGAAATCAAGATCGGAAACTACCAATGTATTACAATGATAACGAAGCAAATGGTAAGCGAATACATATGGTAATCTTCAACAGCAAATAAAATCCATTCATCTTTAAGTCTCCATCTCATCAAAAATACTTCAGTTCATATATTAAAATCCTCACTACGGAAAAAACAAATAAAAAAATCAGACGAAACCACCTGCTGAAAGAAACGAAGGAGAGTCAATCCTATCTAAACCTGCATATATATATATATATCATCATACAATCAAATACCAGAATCTGTATATAATAATTATAAAAATCACATCAAATAAATCAAATAAAACATATGTAATAATCAGATCTTAAACCAAATTATGCAAGAAAAAGAATCTGGAGTAAATACGTTCATATATTTACGAAGGTGCTTCGCCCTCTTCTTGAGTCTCCGGTACGGCCTCGTTAAGAAGGATCCTGACTTTCAACCTAAAACCAATTCGTAATAGGCGGAGTGACTCTTCAACATTATAAGCCAAGGGGAGATCCCATATTTTTCCAATATGGACATATTCAACACTTCACCAGGGATGATAATCTCGAAAATCTATACAGAATCCAAATCCAAAACGGACACAATGGCTCTCATACCATGTTGAGATTAGGGAAAAATATTGTATTGTATCTCAATGAAGAAGATGATACAAAATAATATATATACAAAAAGTAGAACAAAACAACGAATACAACATACTAATTATTGGGCTTCTTAGATATTAATTTAAATAAAAAGAATACACTAAGGCCCATAAAGGATAGGCCCAAAAGAAAAGAAAATACACTAGCTTGCTGGAGCTATCTTTTTCTTCATAGTTGTATCACCTTCACATTCTTCATCAGCTTCTGAAATTGATGAGGAGGTGTCAACAATCCTGGGAGGATCAATTGCTTGACACCCTCCCCTCGGACCCGGCGTGCCCATACAGAGTCTGGTCCGAATATTTTTAAGGCCTGTCCACATAGAGCTTTAGTGAAAATATTCGTAGTTTGAAGTTTGCTCCTCACATGAGCCAAAGAGATTACTCCATGCAGATACTGATTTAGTACCAGATGGCAAGCTATTTCGACGTGCTTCGTTCTCTCATGGAAGACTGAATTTCTTGCAAGATGAAGTGCAAACTCATTGTCACAATAAAGCGGGATAGGAAATAGAATGACATCGCTTTAGTGGCCCATGTATCTAGGCTTCCGAAGCTGAAAGGTTCTTTGCTGGAATATGAAGAAAACCGAACATGTTTTATTAATACAGGGGTACCAAAACAAAGCACCATTTGAAAACTACACTACACCCACAACAGACAATGGTAGCATCCGAATGAAGCTTTTATGGCAGGATGACCAGCGGCGCAGAAGATGGGATGATCTAATGAAATCATTGGAATGATATTATGGAAGCTTTCCATGGGTTGATTAATTATTAATATACTTGGGTAAGGAGGATTCATTTAGTTTTAATATTAAAAGTTATATTCCAATTATTGATGTTGAAGAGAACAATGAATCCGAAAAAGACAAGTATCAACTAAAGATATATTTTATCTAAGTTTGGATATTCAACTAAATTTAAAAAACAAATAAAATAATCACCATGAAAAATGCTTCAATAATCAGCTAATAGATCCAAAAACAAACTTAAGGCATCATTTCAATGATGAATTGTGCTTGGAACCAACAAGGGAAGAAATAAAAAATTCTATATACTCTTTGAAGAGAAAACGAAAGAAACAAAAATGCAAGTATACTTGTGCTAAAGCAATAGAAAATCTAGCACCTTGATTGCACGAGAGGATATAAGTAGACAAAAAAGCTTTTATACAACAATCAGCACGATCTACCAAGAATGTGCAGTTCACAATACCCAATATGAAAACAACTTTTAAACCAAATAGCGAATCTTACCAACATTTTTCCTAACAGATCAACCGAACTTAATTCCAAGTATCTACCTCAAGGCACACATACATAAACCATTGAAATTCACCCACAACCCAAAGCATGAGTATGAACTAATGATGAAAAGCAGAGAAAAATTGTACGATAAAATGTGGCTTTTGATCTTCACAAAATGCTTTGTCTGTGACACCAATTGAAAATATCTTACAAATTATATTAGAAAGTAGGCCGCGGCTATCTGAATTCAGCACTATGCTCAACATATGGTGTGCTATTTGACAGCAAAACAACACATAGTTTGTGTTGTATGTAATAATAATGTGTTGTTTTTATATATGCGTGTGCTGAGTTGGTGCAATGAGCACCGTAACCATCCCTTAGAAAGTAAATGAGAAATGAAATAGAAAAAGCAAATAAAAAAATGAAATGGAAAAAGCTGAGACACTTGTCCACGCAGACCATCATGAGAGTTAACACCTGACAACATTACCCCCTGTCACCCTTTGCCCCTGCTTTTCGAGTGTTCACTTCAACCGTATCTTCTCATTTTGTCTTCGTGGAGGAAAGAAGAACCTTGGTAATTTGTGCTGTTTCTTCAGTAATTTCTGTTCCTGATTTTCTCTCTTATGCATCAACTCTGGTGTTAGGCGATGGCAGATGTTTGATTGAATTGTTTCTGTTTCTATACGTTTTGATTGGAGGAGGGAATTGATTCAATTTAGGGGGTTTTGAAATGCTACTTTTTTTAGGCGACAATTCAAGAGAACGAGCTAGAGAGAACTTATTTTGCGTAAAAAAGTTTGTACTTTCCAACAGGGATGTATTTCACAATTCTAGAGAGAGAGATAAGATAAGAGTCGGGGTTAGTCAATAGAAACATAGATTAACTTCTTAGGGTTATTTACATTTTTTTTTGGCAAATATGATTTTTGTGAAGATGAAACCAGATTATATCTTTCAGTTTTGCTATGTTTTTCAACATTAGTTCATACTCATGTTCTGGGTTGCTGGTGAGCCTCTTCAATTTTGGCTTACATTTATTAGAATTTCAATCTTTATCTTGATTATTATAATTTTTTTTTTCGTATCTGTGTGTGTTATGCAGGGTGCCTTAGATTTGTATGTGTGCCTTGAAATAGATGATTAGAAGATTCTGTGGATCTGTTCTTGTAACCTTGATACACCACACTCTGGTAGATTGTTGGTAAGATTCGCTATATATTTGGCAAGTTGTTTTCCTGTCCAGCATTGAGGACTGCAGATATATCAGAGATTGTGTTGATTGTTGTATATAATCTATTTTTTTCTGCTCATCTCTTCTGGTGCAATAAAAAGGACTAGATTTTCGATTGCTTCCGCACAAGTATATCTGTATTCTTGTTTCTTTCCTGTTGACTACTGTGTGCTGCAGTTATTGCTGATTAATGTATTTAAGTTTTACGTGTCCGTTGTAGTTATTGTTTTAATACATATGCAGTGCATATAATATTCAACTTCTTCGTTTATTGGTTCCAGAACCAAATCATCGCCGACTTGGTGCCTTTAATTATCTGTTGGATTTATTAGCCGATTATTAAAGTATTTCCCAATGAGAGAATTTTATTTTTTGGGAAAGTTAGCTAATGTACAGACTTCAATTAAATGTATCTTTAGTTGACACTTGTCTTTTTCGTATTTGTTGTTTTCTGTTCAACGTCAATAATGGGAATGTTGAGTTTTAATATTGAAACTAAATGAACCCTCTTTACCCTACTTCATTAAAGAAGTAATCAACCCACTAAAAGCTGTCATACTATCATTTCAGTGATTCATCAGAACATCCTGACTTGTTCATGGATGGTCATTTTGTCCCATGAAAAAACTTTGTTTGTATGGAACCATTGTATGTTGGGGGTATAGTGTAGTTTTCGAATGCTGCTTTGTCTTGGTACCTCTGTGTATTAATATACCATGTTGTGTTTATATATATATATATATATATATATTCCAATGAAGAACCTTTCATTTTGAGAAGCATAGATACCGGAGCCATTAAAGCGATGTCAGTATAGGAAATTTCAACCAAATATCATCTATATATGACAACAATTTGTCAAAGGTTTAAATTCCAAATTAGTTTTTTTTTGTTTTTTATTTTTTTTGTTTCCATCAATTGATAATTACATTTTAGTTGATGATATACATTTTTCGCATCAATTGCTCTCACGAGCCACCAGGCATTTTTTTTTTTTTTGCTCTTTCTCAGTTGTTATTTATGTTTTTATTATTACTCTGTAAATCTCTCTATTGTACTTGGAATGAGTCTCATTGGTGATTAAGCATGCTGTTTTTTTTTTTTTTTTTTTCAGGAGTTTATCCATCATAGTACTTTTGTCCAAACATACTTAACTTTTGATTATGTGACAGGGCTTTTGGTCACTGAGATTGAATCTGTCGGTTATGATTCAAAATAATTAGTGGACATTAAGGAGAAAGAAAGTCGCTAGCTATTATGAGGGGTTTATATTTGTTTTTATGATGCCTTTAAATTGCTTTTATAATCAATTATGTAGTAACGTTTGAGTGGTAGTTTAAATATGATGTATTTGGTATTATTGTGAAGAAGTGAGAATTGTTTGAGAAGTTGTCCTGTTTTTCTATTCCTGCGCCAACACAATCTTTCTAAAGATTCTAAATAGAAGCATATTGCTGCTTATGTAGCCTTAGGCTATATTAGTTCTACGACTTTTGCTAATTTTGGTGGAGGGAAGCACAGAGTATCTCTAATGCATCAGAGTGCGTTCTATTTCAGCTTTTGTTCTGATCAGAAAATTAATACAAAACCTGCTCAATATAATTATATTTCAATTGGGTTTTCCTTCCCTATTGTCTCCTCTCATTTTTATTTTTCCAGATCAGATTGTTTTGCTTATTTTTTTGTTGGTTAATCAATGTGATTCAAATCATTCTAATTTTTCTTTCAACTACAACAGGAACTGATCATTCAACTTTTAACTTTGTAGAAGCTGCTATACTGCATTTTCCAGACACAAAGTGCTGTTGCCTATATATGCACACATTCCCCAGATTTTATCCTGCCGTAGGTAATCCTCTTACTACATCGTAATAATATAAAAGAGACCTCTGTAATTTATATTCCTACCTTGTAAAATCACATTATATGATTTATGTGCAACATTGTATTCTATTGTTCTATACTTTTAGGCGACGACGGCTCTGTAAATATTTTTTAACCAGTATCACAATATATAAACCTACAAATAAAATTAACTAATAGGTTTAATTTTCTTAAGAAAATTTACGAACAATTTATCTTTTCCAATTTAAATAAATATTAGTCACACTTCAAATTTTAATTAGGACACTAAAACTTTCCACTGGTAGCATATTTATTAAATTGTAAAAATTTCCCTAGTAAAATCACCGGTGACACAACAGTGATTTTAGAATACATCCACCCCCCTAACTTTTAGGTTATTCAAATATTTGCATGGATAGAATTTTGTTACATATGATTGCAGAAACTTGTCATTTCTTACACGTTACACTTCTTTCTTTGACATACAATAATGAACATACTATTTATTGTAGTTGCGGATATAACTAACCCCTTTTACGCTTTACCAATAAAATGGGATTTAATTAATTGAAAGTAGCTGAATTATAGAAAGTATCAAGTCCGTATCCAAACTGAATTAACTACTCTATGTTTGATTCAATAAAGTCAAAATAAACTTTAACTATCTATTATTAGACATTGATAAATTATTTTTGTCTAATTTTGGTGTATATATGTATATTCAATATGGTAATGGTGTTCTTATAAAGTTCCCTCATGTACCAACACTTAGATTTGGATATATATATATATATATTATGCATCTTATATCTAATTTCTAGAGCTCAGAATTGTTTTAGGGATAGTTAAGGTGTTGATTGACTCAACTTATCACATAGTAAATGTATACATAACATATGGCTAGAATTAATACTATTATCATATGTCGTCAGTCAATTTTATGTATAGTGCTACGTGTGATATATGACAAGATCAAGATGGCATGCATTATCAGTATTTATACTGTCAACATGTATTTTTGTGTTGCAAGCAATTAGAGCACGTGCTTTGGGTCTTTTAATTATATACTAATTATGATTAATTTGATTAATTCTAATTAGCACCGTAAGTGCTGCTGTTTTAAATGTATCAAGAAGAACTAATGAACATTTAAGGTGGTTCTAAGAAGTATCATATTCTCTCACTTGCCCTTGTGTTTTTAGGAATTTCTTGTACAGGTGGGTTTCCGCAAGTTGATCTGCTAGATAAACTGAGGCCAAAAATATTTTCTATCAGAAGCTATATATATAAAATGTTGGAAGAGAGTTGCAGTCTCCACTATTCGACAAGTCTTGTGCATGTATACTTACTTTATGATACAAACATATTCTGTCACAGCCACTTAGTCTATTAATGATCACTCCAGCCTGAATTAAACTGCTAAAGTATGTTGTCTTAAGCCCTCCACCAAGATCTTACATGAGCTAAATGCTGTTTAGTTACCATTGGCGAAATATATTCCAGTTCCTACCAGGTGGTTACGGCAATATATCTGATTGAATAATATACTGCTATGCAGCTTAGTTGCTTATTTCCTATTAACATCCGGTCTTGTCTTTCAGATTTTGGCGACCAGGTTGCCATGGCCTGCTCATCCTAGCTCATGGAATACCAAGGCCTCTAATACTAAAATACGATGTCGCATTAGAAGTAGTTCAGTTCAGATTTATTACCACTCCGTATATATGCTTACATTCTCGATTCAAATTGAGATGTCAAATGTTAAGTTTTGCTCAGCACTACACTAATGGATCCCTGAATCCTCTGCCATTGGTGTACATTAGTTGGCACAAAGATCAAACTGGTTGCGTAGATGGTTGAAGATTTCTTCTGAAGAATGAACATCAACAGGGCAGTATTAAATATATATAATTCCCCAAGAAGCTTTGTAGGTTTCATTGAATCCCTCGACCATTAATCTTCTCCGCCAATGTAGAATGATGTCTGCATTTGCTAGCTCGCTCCACCATCTTGCTGTAATCACGTACCAAGCCATTAGTAATAGATAAATATATATATATGTGTATGGAATTATACGATTATAATTTGGACCTTTATTCTCATTTCCAACCTCTACAAAAATAACCTAAAAACAAGAAGAGAAAAAATAGTGAAATAGCGTTTCTTTTTCTCGCAAGAACTGTCCAATTAAAAAAAAGAATCAAAGCCCAATTTGAAACCCTAATTTGTGTGCAGCATGTGTTGCCCTAAACGAAGAAATGTAGTTGAGGCCAGGCGGCGCAATAATTATCACAAATATCTTCCACGTGACGTGTGCCCTCTCTATAAAACTCCTGCATCCATTACCACTCTTCACACCCTCGAAACCCATTTCTTAGTTTGTATCGCCATTCCAATACCGCTGCTACAGGTAACAGATCTGCCCACAGACTTATATCTATATCTATCTATATATACCAACGCTTCTCCTTGACGATATATATGTGAGGAAGTCATTTGTAGTGTCTTTTCTTGCTGTAAAGTGTTTGTTTCACCAAAAAATTGTTGATTTTCTATCTTGCAGATCCCTTGAATTGCGCTTTAATTCTCTAGCTCCTTAATTTGTCCATCTGAAGGTAATATATGATTCTATGTCCTGGATCTGATCTCCACCTCTTTTTCTACTCTATCCTTTCTCTTTTTTCACAATCCGGACTTTTTCTTTAATGGAAAGCAAAACTAGGGTTTTGATATACGAGTTGGTGGATTTTTAAATGATTTATTATGATAATTGTTCATCAATCTGGGTTCTTTTTCAAAGAATGTAAACTTAAGGGTTTTGATTTCTTGGTTCATCTGCTTTTTAAATGATCCTATCATTAAAAAGTTTTGAATCGATAAGATAAGTATCAAATTTAATTATAAGAAAACCACATCCGATTATTTTTATGATTTTTCTTACATTTTATTTTCTTTAATTTTTTTTTTAAAATTAGATCTGTGGTTTTTTTTTCGAAAACTTATATACTCAATCCTATAGACATCATTAGCTTGTGTTTGATTGCAGCGTAAGAAGATCTAACGCCGATTTTTACACCTGCTGCTCCTAGAATACAACTCGATCCAGGGTGATCAAATCAGGACCATGGTGGACTACATGTGTATGTTCACAATGGATAAATGATGTTGTATCTATGGTCAGGTATCAATGAAAAAAGCTTATATAAACAGTGTTTAATATATATATATATATCGGTTCATGGGTTATTAAATCATGGGATTTGGAGTGGCAGTTATTTCGAAACAATTTAAAGTATGTTTACCCATGTGCTCCAAGTGATTTTTGAATGTTCTTGTTTCACTAATCTTGACTTCCATCTTACATGGATTTCATGCGACTTTTTTCTAATAGGTAAATCAAGTTTAAAAAAAAAAAAACAAAAAACAAAAAAGATGGCTTATAGACGTCATGAGGGCTCCACATCTCACCTGACAGAGAAGGAGTTATCACCATCAATTCTCCGTTTTGTTGGTGTACTGGATGATGCTGATGTCTTACATGTACCGGTACTCTCTCATTCATGTTGAATTTTTGGACTTTTTATTCTTAACCTTTGGGGGAATGCTGCTTGTAGTCACATTGTAATATGTAGTGTCTATTATTATAGGATTAAAACATGGTTTGACGAACAATTATTGAACTTTAAGTAATTTATTATATTAAGCAAGTATCCTCTCATCACCCACCAACTTGTTGAGTACTAAATGTTACGGTTTTAGGATGTTTAGTAGCGAAATTGTTGATCTGTGTAGATGAAATTCTTCTATGATTTCTGCAATTTTTATAAAGCATGCATCCTTGTAAAAAATTTAATATTTTTGCAGCGCTTGCCATCTTCGTTTGCTCCAAAGGTGGAGCACTTGGTGGACCAAGAAATCCTCCTTGAGGATTTATGTGGACAGATATGGCCTGTGACTCTATCCTATGTTGACAATGAATTATCATTCGCATTGTGATGGAAAGTATTTCATATGACCATGCTCTCACTAGCAGAAATTAAGGCTTTTTATTGCTGCCGAAAAGTTGATACGAATGCTCATTTTTCGACACAAGAAGCCTTTTGTGTCAACTTTGTAACAGATTTTGACCGATACAAGAACTCGAGTAACAAAAAGTCTATGTGACGACAATGTCCGTTACAAAAAGTTGATGGTCAACACTCCTATTGCGCACGTGCTAAATTTATTTGTAACGGTTTCATTTTTTGTAACAAAATTATCCATTGCAAAAAAATCAGTATTATTATCCTTTGTTGTAATAATAACCTTTTGTTACGGATGTTTTTGTAACAAAAGAAACGTTACAATTAGAAAAAGTATTTGTTACGAAAATTCACCGTAACAGCAAAATTTTTATAATTTTCTATTGACCGTAACAAATATTTTTGTAACGACCAAACAAAAATAATGAAAATAATCAGAAATAATCGGTCAAAAATAGCATAAAACCTATTTTTTTATACTAAATACAAAAATAATATAGAAATATACAAAATGATGTTAATCCAACAACATTCTCCGGCACACCAAAAATATAAATACAATATTGTTCTCCCGACAACCATGCCAATTAATGAATGCTATACACCATATCCAAAATATCTAACATCTGAAAGACAAAGAAATATGAAAAAGTATCTATTCAATACAACCAATTCAATATAAATACAAAGAGACAAATGGGCCAACACGATCGTTGTTGCTGCAATCTCTCGGAAGATACTCAGGGACGGCGAAGTAACCATAGTGAAATGTGAACTTATATAAAATTTAATTTAAAATTGATAAATACAAATCATAAATACTTGTTACACTTAGTGAAATAATTCACAATGTCACATAGTAATTAACGAATAAATAAGAGTGATGAGATTAACCATCACGAATGACTCATACATTACAACATAAGAGATTCTTCTCTAAACCATCTATTAAATATATAACCAAAAATAACATTGATAATCTATCAGCTAAATTAACCAAAGCGATTTTTGGTTCATTCAATAGCATTGGATGAAAACTCCCAATTATAATGTAGAACGGTCTATATTCCACAAAAGAACAATCATCATCATCACTAAAATAATATTAACATTTATAAAAATTTGTCATAGTTACTGTAACTGGTTTACAATAGTGTGCAACAAACGGAACTAAAGCATGAATTATTTTCTGCATCATCTAGGAGACTAAGATACTACAAGCGTCTCTAAATTTATGAAGGAAAAAAATAGATTTACTTTTCCTATGCTATTGTTAAGTTGTGCAAAAGCTTCTACTTGAAACAACTTATGCAGGACTTACAAGAACTTGTAAGGACTATAACATTTGTAAATCGAACAACTATACCCAACCCTATTCTCGAATATTTAAAAGTATAACATAATATCCATCCCTCCTAAGTTCCAAATGGGGCAAGTATTGAATTAATGGATCAACAACAATAATAAACCCCTATGCATGCTATACAACAACAATAAAATGTTTCTGAAAGTTTCAGCAACAAGAAGGCATAAAAATACAAACAAAACAAGACGATCAAGGCAAGCAAAATATAATCAAATGGGCAAACGGTAACCAAGAAACCAAATACACTAGATAAATATATGACAACCCCCACAATTAAACAAAGGACAACTAAGTATTAACTATTACGAATCACTTAAAAGCTCCTAACCATTAAAAACTAAAATTGCAAACAAACATGGGTTTGGTACGGATAGCATGAGATTCTATCTACACTAAAAGTTTTGCAGCTATATATCATCAACATTCTTTTGTGTGGATAAGGTATAAGCAAAATAAATTTATAGTAAGGATCAATACATATACGTGGTATAAACGAGTAATGCATGTTTAATGTCAAATTTTAATACTTACTCCATCTACATCATACCTTTATCTTGAGCCATGCACCTTACATTCTGCTATTTCCATATCTTGAGTTGGCCAAATCGTAAAATCAACAATTGTAAATGATAATTACAAACCCAGAAAAAATTACAAATCTTATTTGCATTCCCCAAACAAATTATTTGAAAAGAGTAGAATTGTAAATGTATATTTTTGTTGTTTTTCCATAGATTCAGCTATGTTATAGGCAGAGCTCCCAAATATATATAATATTTATTTGATGGTTTTCCATACATACACCTATGAAACAATAATTAAGCAAATCAAGACAAATATCACTAGAATCAACAAATATAGAATTAAGGCATTCTCCATAAGGTCCTCCTATCTTTTCCTTCTACGAGCTGAGGTATTATAAAACATTCTCTAACTACATAAATTTAAACCATGGCATGACATTGATAACGTACAAAGAAGACAATAATACAACTAAAAAAATATTTTCAGATTCATTAGAAAGAAGTAAATGGTCATCATGTTGCTCCCAATAACGATCAAATAAAGGCCTCATTTTACTTCTGTAGCTCTAATATTTGAAACATTTGAATTCTTCTATTCAAGATAAATAGGATCACAAGAACTATAAAAACATAAAAGAATTATATAAATTATTCTAAAATTTGGAACAAGAAGGTAAAGCATTGAAACTGTCAATGCTAGAAGATCTTTCCTTTGATTTTCATTTATTATGATAACAACTCATCATTTAATCCTATATATTTTGAATATGCAGCATAACAATTGTTTAACTCAACAATACAAACCCATCAATTATATACTTTACGTTTCACTTTAATGATATCTCTTTAGTAACCTGTTAAAATATTTTGTAGAAATATCATAATTGCTATATTATTCACATAAATTAGTCAGTACCTTGGCGTAATAATCTTTTCAAATCATGTGGGCAATCTGATGTCCTCCCAAAAAAGCAAAATCTTTGAATTTGTCTTCCCAATACTCAACTCCTCTGAAGTCTAGATATTGAGTTAGCTGGTGTTGCACCAATTTATTTTCATATCCAACACCTTGAAAGTCTTAGCATCATTACCATTACATTTTTATAAACTTCACTACATTTGTTGATAAAAATACTTTAAAAAAAACATATATGAAATAATTTAAAAAAACAAGCAAATCTAACAACAAATAATAAAAAAGTCTACATTTGCATTTTTTAGTGTGTATATATGTATGTGTTTATATATATATATATACTAGAACTATCCATTTCTCTAACTGACATTTGTTACTTTATAGATAAATTAGAAATAAACCATTACCAGTGTAGTAGCTAACACGCCACATTGCCCACCCTCCTGTTGCACTAGCTCCATTGATGTCTGTGGATCGGTGCTAAACCTATAAGGAAAATTGAGTTTAAAGAGCACAAGAGTGCAAGCTCATTATGTATGAAGGGACAAAGATAGATTACATTATTTGATTCTACAGAGACTCGAGAACCATTAAAATACCATAATATTGGTTGCACCAGTGCTTGCATTACAAACAACTAATAAGCATAGCAAGTAGGTGTACTTTAGAGGTTATATAAGAAACATTAAAATACCATAATATTGGTTGCACCGTTGCTTGCATTACAAGCAATTAATAAGCATAGCAAGTAGGTGTACTTCACTGGTTATATAAGCAAATAGATATTGACAGTGCAAAATGGATTACTTCAATAAATAAGCATAAACAAACAATAATAGAAATATTATGAATGTCATTTTGAAAATATGGGTCATGTTGGCAGCAAATTACTTTCGTAGCCGGCTAACAATAAATGAGTTGACCAAGTTCTCCAGGAATCTGATACTGACTCCCTGAGTGCCAAAATCTTAATAATACCATCAACTTAAGAAAAGAAGATTTACTTTGCAAGTCAGGCCTCTGAATTCCCAAGGGCAATACCGTAGAAATTGATTGTGATTATATCAACACACCAGTCAGATAGATAAAGAATGCTACAACATCATTTTAAATTTACTGTAATAGATAGGAACTTTAAAAAAGCTTCAGCTATATCAAGAAGACACAATGATAGCACTTCAAGTAAATCACGAGGGAGATAATGATGGTGGACAACATAGTTTCTTGGAAACTCTTGGAGCCATTTTGAAACACGTGCATGAAAATTTCAGAGGATTAATCTATATAGAGACAACTTGTGAAATCAAAGATATTATAATTTCATTTATAGTCATATATATATATATAAGCACATTGTAACAAAAAAGAATTTAGTGTGATAAAACTAATTAATCTCGTAAATAAACTTTACTTTAGCATATGATTGCACTTTAAATTTACAATGTCAAAATGATGGTGCATGCTATGCCAAATCAAGGCTAGCTCTCTTAGTATGGGAGCAATCTATAGAACAAGGCAGTTGATTTAAGTCTACCTACTTAAAAAAATATAGATATCTAAATCTGCAAAATTTCTCAACCTAGAATCTATTATTGCATTTTTGCAACCTAGAATCATTGATTCATAAAAAAAACATTCCATTCCACAATACAAAAACACAAATAAACGCAAAAAATAGTAAACTATCACACAAAACAAGTCAGGGATCCAAACCGTAACAGATGAGAGAATAGAAAGACGAACAGAGTAGAGTGCAGTTCCACCAATGAAAATCAAGCTTGTAATTCTCATTACGCTACAATCACCCAAAACCAATGACAAAAGGTTCCAATTTGACTCGGAGTATGGTAGAAAATACGACATTTCAAGTAACTTAAATCAATTTAAAATAAATTCGATATTTACGTCGAGTCAAGGTAGCTACTCTTTCTGTAAAGATGAATACACCCCGATAATGCCTCCGGTTCGTGGCGCAACATTCTCAAAGACAAAATGACATTCGTCTGCGAGTTAAGTGGCACCCCACTATTTTGAAACTCCGACTAACTAAAATGAGGGGAATTCGAAGTATGTTGGGAGGCTTAATATTTAAGAAAGAGTTGCCAGATTTGTACCAGACAACTCATCGGAAACTCCGCCAAAAAATATTTCCAGGGAGGAGAGGATTAGAGAGAAAGATCTTCTCTTGGTGGTGTATCTTTAAATGAGATGCACAACACCCTTTTTATAGGCACTCTCACGGATGTAACGATCGAAGATTAATTGCATGCCAATAAATTGCAATTTTGAAAACCTACACACGTAGCAAATATTTTTATGCAATTTAATTTGCATAATATATCATGCATTAATCACCATTCTGCAATTTAAAATTTGAATTGTATAACCACAATATGTTAGTAATCCTTGCATATAATGGTGATTTCTATGCATGTATATAATACAAAAACTTGT